TGGGAGTGCCCTAAAGACCGCATTAAGTAGGAGCCTGACATTACAGGCCAGTCTGCCAGTCAGCTATTCTGCTCAAACACACACTGGGCTGATAGCAGGTTACCAGTTAGCCGGTCAGTTGGCAACCCTCCAGGCCACGGCTTTTAGCACCCCGTGAAATCTTCAGGCGCGGTAGATACGTTTGTAGTACGTACAATGTGCTGATCCACCGATCTCACTCTTTCCCCCATCCCCAGCATCAGTCCGCCGTCAGAGTTGGTCAGATATCTTATGCAGGGCGGGCACAGTGGCCGAGAGGGCCGGCATTACACAAAACAGGACGACCGAAACCAGTAGATTAGAAGGATACGTCGCCACCTGACACCCTGATCAGCCACTTAACATGCAACACGCACTGGCCTAATGGCGTGGTCTGGTGTAAAGCGTTAGTGGACAGGTAAAGCTACATAATAGTAGGCATCATCCACCGATCAATCTAGCATCTATATTGATTTCGTTACTAAGCATTTTCCCTGGACTAACTCTTCCTGAAGCAAAAATGTAATCGTTAGTTATTCAAAGTCGATAGGGCAGGCTGTGGCTTGGTGTGAGCCCAGTCTCAGATTTTGAAGTTTGTTGCCTTAGAAACTATCGGGACTGAAGTCCTGACGATTCGATGTACGGCTGACGTGTGGGCATCACGGAATTCACCTTACACCTTTTCAAATAAGAGACGGTGTGCTTCTTGATGCACCCGATTTTAAGTTTATTGCTTTTCTACCTTTCGCTACATTACCCATTTACAGAAAGGTCCCAACAGAATTCCTGCACTGCGCAACGCAGATGCTCCCATCGCCCGAGAACTCATCAGTCGACGTCGTAACCACCTCCTTCCGATTGGCCGACTCCGTCGATGAGATCATCATCATTGTGGGCCGTCAGATAGAAAGCATTTTGTCGGCTCTACCAGAGAACTCCAAGGCCGTAAGTCACCCTCACTAGACATAAACATAATGATTTTTGTGCTTCCTCTGTGCTTTACGTCAGATCGTATTTTGGCGGGAGGTCTGGGTTTCTGTCCGCACTTGTGGTTGTCACTGTCTGTTCAGGGACCGACACCAGTCCTTGACTGTTTTTTCACCTTTGGTCCACTAGTCTTCGGTTTTTGAAAACCTCGCCTTCTGATGGTTATAACTGGGTCGAGGAATGCTCACCGATTACTCCTCATGTTCTGCCATGGGGCTCACTCTCAAATTCTGCCAACAGCTGCAAAATGGCTAAAAGTGTAGGCAGATGGACACTGTGGCCAAGGCAAAGGAGAATGGAATGGCCACCATCAGCCAGTCTTGGCCATCTGCGGGACTCCAGAGTGATCCCCAAGGCAGAACGGGGCGAGTGGATTTAATTAGTGATCAGGGAGTTTTCATCAAACTATTTCAATATTCCAGATCTAAACTGGCAAGAAGCCGTGCTCATGGCTCAGTGGTTAGAGCGTTGGACTTTTGATCAACAGGTCCCGGATTCGGGCCTCTGGTGGTGCACTTCTTGGGGTTGGGTATGATTGACTGAAGACGCCTAATGAGTCTGAAATGGCCATTCCAGTCTCTCTTGTTCTTACCGATACTGTTCATCTGGTACTAGCTTCGTACGAAATGAATGAATGAACGTAGAATGAAGCCTTTAGGAAATTATGTTTACAGGATGTTGTAAACACCTGTTTGAAACCTCGTGAGTATGGTGTGCATCGATCTATCCCCACTGGCGGACATTTCTGCTTTTTCTTGGACTTAAGAGGCTGCAGCTTAACCAATTTGGTCGTACTGACAACCACGGGGACATTATAAAGGCTGTTTCTGGCTTACCTGCTTTTATCAGTCGGTTCTTCTCCAGTTTTCGAGATTTGAACCCGAAATATATTGCATAATCGGACCAGGCTATCATAAGTACAATAAGAGGCTCACATCCTGTCGGTTGATATGTGGATATACTATCATATGAGACTGGCGTACATCGCACGGGAATGGACACCTCTGTAGCTGCGGGTCTTTAACTCGCGCAAGTGTTTGTACAGCGAATAGCAATTAGCGCAGTAGTGAGAGTGCTGTATGGTAATTAACAGACGTACTGACGACTTCAGTCACCGCCAGGGATCATGGCGAATACCGGAGCAGGCAAGATGCTGGCAGCTTGTTGCTAAAGTTGCTTAAGGCGGAGCAAACATGCTCCCTGTCAGCCTGTGTCAAAGGCTCCACCCCAACAAAAACATATGTAAACAAGGGATGAAGTTATTAAACATAATAAGCAGCTCATTAGGGGGGGGGGTTGAGTCAGAGGTGCCCGTTTTATCATACAAAATGTCGGTGTTGGAGGGGGTCAAAGGCGCTCCCAGAAACCAAAAGTTATTTGCGAACGCTTCATGTCACTGTATGACAGCTTGGAGTGGCTTCTTTCCACGACCGCTTGGCAGACTGCATTTTTTAAAATTTGGTTTTGTGAGATAGAAAAGGAGGCGACGAGGGAAAAACGTCAACCGTCCCCA